GTCTGGGTGGTGTGGTCCAAGAATCCTCTCGCACCCCTCCAGTCCACGCCGATGCATCGTCTCTGATTCACCGTACTTTCCTTGTGATTGCAGCACCGCAGCCAGGCCGCTGATACTAGTTAGAGTGTCTGGGTGGTCCGGTCCAAGAATCTTCTTACACACCTCCAGTTCATGCCGGTGCAACGCCTCTGATTCACTGTACTTTCCTTGGAGTCGCAGCACTATGGCCAGGTTGTTGATACTTGTTAGGGTGTCAGGGTGGTCTGGTCCAAGAATCTTCTCACACCCCTCCAGTTCACGCCGATGCATTGTCTCTGATTCATTGTACCTTCCTTGCAATCTCATCACCATAGCCAGGTTGTTGACACTTGTTAGGGTGTCTCGGTGGTCTGGCCCAAGAGTCCTCTCCCGCCCCTCCAGTGCCCGGCGATTCATCGTCTCTGATTCATCATACTTTCCTTGGTATTGCAGTGTAAGAGCCAGGTTGTTGATACTTGCTAGGGTTTCTGGGTGGTCCGGTCCACGAATCATCTCGCGCCCCTCCAGCTCACGCCGAATTAGCATCTCTGATTCGTTGTACCTTCCTTGGTCACGTAGCGCCGTAGCCAGGCAACGGATGGTGTCCTGAGCGATTAGATGATTTGGGCCCAATGATTTCCCAATATCCTATAATAAACCCCGCAGTATGTTCTCGGCCTCCTTTGCCTTTCCTTGATGTATGCTTATCGAGCCTAGGAATAGAACTCTCCTGTGACCCTCCCCGTTACTGTCATACTCTTTACTCTCTTTCCGTAGTTCAATACATCGACGCAATTGAGTTCCTGCGTCATTGTAGGAACCCATATCAAGAAAGTACCGTCCCAGGCGAAAGGAAAGCTCTTCGGCAATGGGATCCGTTGAATGTTTCGTTACTGCAAGCACATGTGGAATGTATGCAGAACTAACATTTCTCCACGTAGTCCAACGGTGAGGGAACAACCTTGAAACCACTCTCAGCGCAGTGACCCTCCACCGATTCAACTCTTCGGTTGATAAATATACCTGTAAAGACAGTTGCACCAATCGATGAAGCTCGTAAAATGTCTGATCTCCACGTTCGACTGCCGTAACTAGCGAAAATCCCAGTAGTTTTCCGATGGCCTGACGAAAGTGAATTGGATCGTCTATCCCTTTCAAACCGCTTTGGCTAATGAGCTCTCCGGGTATGTTCTGACGATCGAAGAACGCAATTAGACGCATGAGATCCGCCGCTAGGGGGATCTGCCTCGCGATTCGGTCAAAGGTGATAAAGTACGTAGCTAGGATGCCTTCGGTCATATCAAACTCTCGTTGGATATCCCAAAACGGTTGTGAAAGGAGTCTCTTGGAGTGTTCGTCGCTTCCCCGGAAAATGGTCCAGTAAGCGGACGGCCGTGTCTGGGTTTCAGTCATGAAGGCCGTCGCTCCTATGATAACCAGCGGGATGTGATGTATGGACTTCAGGATCATTGTGATCGCCTCTTTTTGTCCATCTCTTGAACTGTTCCAGCTACCCAAACGTTTCAAAAACAATGCTCGTGCTTCATCCTCTTCCATTTTTCCGACATCGACCCTTTCGCAGCCCTGCCAAGATGCAACCTGGAGTGATCTAGTTGTGAATATTAGGGTGCCCCGAAGCCCCTGTGGTACAAATTTGGAGATGGGACCGCTGTTGCCAATAAAGCCCTCCTCGTTGTCGGCATTGTCAATCACCAATATCCAATCCCCACTGTCTGGGCCGTCAAACCATCTCTTTATATCCAATAGGAATCCCTCTTCGTCCATCTCGGTGCTGGCTAGTGGAATTCGGACATGTTGTGCAATAGCTCTAAAGCCCTGGCTAAATTTTGGTAGCCCACTCCCGTGCACCCAGAAAATATCACAATCGCTCTCACTTGCGCACCGATAGAGGTATTCCAGGGCAATCTGGGTTTTTCTAAGCGATGTTAGTGAACTCCTAAAATAGCGATCATGAATACATACCCAGAACCGCCCAATCCATGAAGTGCGATTCGGTTCTGCCCGCCACGCTCGGAAAGCCTCTTTATCGACTCGATGAGATCCTCACGACCTGTGAACTTGCGGTTTCTGCAATAGGGGATTATCCGATAAGGCCTGGATGCTTGTTCTACTTTTAATCGCGCATTAGACCTTTGCCAGAAACCTTTCGGGAAAGGTGATAATACCTCTTTCCCCCGCTCCAAACACATATTGGTGATACACCTGCCCATTATTAGTAAAGTTGTTCAAGTTTCCCGTGTTGATGCGATTATTATTATTATGGCTGCCGGAAACATTGCGACTCCCTGAATTCCCGCTGAAATCTCCGCTGATATCGGCTTGGGTTGTTCTGGGAGGATCATTAGACAGGTACTTCTTATTTTTGAAATCATAGACCCCGAAGGGAAGGGGATCCCACCGATCCATCGAGTACTCAAGTATCTAGCTCCTTGTTGGGCCGTTTTCAGGATGGGTAGAAAAGTATTCAGATACGGCTAGCGCATCTAAAATGGGAGAGTATTCTATATGCCGCCAACGGAGCCGGTTCAAAATAGTTTCGCTAACCCAGAAACAAGTCAAACCCGCGAGATGGTACTCCGGAATGTGTAGCCGAGGACCCTACCTTGGATATGGAGGTGAATAATTCTCTATTTTCGAGGCGGTTATGGGGCGCAATCTTGGCCCGCGCAGTTCGAATTCGGCGATGTCCAAAGATTTAATAAGAGGGTACGGAACGGGTATCAGAGCGATAGCGTCTCCGTGCAGCAAGGAAGATCAAAAGTCTTTCACCCGAGTATCTGCCCGGGCGGGGTAGAGGACCGTGAGAAGCAAACAATGGGTATTGTGACTACATAGCCATTATAACTCCCTGCTAAATTTAGTTTGGGAAATGCCCTAGGAGTTGATCGGGCTTTGGTGGTGGCTTGGGCAGTGGCTGGTATTTGGTTCATGTCACTTGACCCAACAACATATAGCACTGAGACGACAAGCCGACCGCCGGTACAACCCCCTGACTGCAAAAGCATTTTCCTGCATCCTACGGCAGCTATACATTTTGGGATAGCGGTACCGGTACGGGTACTGTTCTCTATCAATTGGAGCTCCCGAGCATACAAGCTTGAGCCTATTCAATGATGGCGATACACAAATAGAGTAGTTGGACCATGCTCGGAAGGGGCCTTGGCCCCTTCTCGGCTCCTTTTCTCACACCACCCTACCTTAAGTTAAGCCTATCAGACACCTAAAATCTGAGCTGGCGCCTAAAGCAGAGTCCAGAGACGAGGCACAACACCCCGACGGTACACTGCAGCGATAATGATTTGGTGAGGCCTTTGTAACCAAACCAGCTTGCGTCAGCACGCACAAGTGCTGCGGATGCCGCATTTGTGGGAATTCCTAACGGAAGTGGGGCAAAGTGACAAGTGGTATTGAAGGTCGGACGAGGCTGGCATGACTATGAGACGATATTGGTATGAATAAATGGCAAGCGAATCAACTTGCTACAACCCTCGCGCAACCCAGACGGTATTCCGGTATCTGCAAAATTCAGAACTGACGAGCTGCTGTGCGGTGCAATCTCAAAAATTATTTCCTAATTGTAATCATTAAATTTTATATGACATTCTCCAATTTGATTTCTACTGTAGCGATCATAACCTAGGAATCTGGAAAACCATTTTTTTCTAACGGGGGAATGTCCCATCAGCCGGATTTTTGTTCCAAACTCCGGGTTTTTCTGTGTTCCAATGGGAAAATACCTGCCTTCCTTCCCCCCTTTTTTTTCCTTTTTGATTCTAATTTCACAAGTATCATACCGGTGAGCTATAGGTTTGATGATTTTTTGTGGCAATATTTGATAGGGTTTTCACCCGATATAGATTTTCTGCTTGGGGATGTCTTGGCTGGCTGGACTTTTCTGTATAGTCTGGCACCTTCCCCTCCTGGTTAGACAGGAGCAACAACCACCACCCGCAACACCAATGGATGTTGTTTTCCACCCATCTGTTGGGTCCTGCTTCATCACCTTTACCTCTCTACTATCGGCTATATTTCACGAACCTCAATCACCTATATTTTCCTCCTTTCACCCCACGGTTTTACAAAGTAGTTATTCAGCGATCCCAATAACTCAAATTCCGCAAGCGCAACCCGGTCGAAAACACCACCTAGTCACGGCGGTCAACAGAGACACTTCGACTCCGGTAGGCTAAGTTTGTGTCTCTACTCCACCTTACATATTCGGTTCTGCACCCGTGGTCGCCTTCTGGGAAGCAAGATATTCTAAAGAGGAGGCGCGCCCCCGAAGGGTATTCTCTTCGCTTATATTTGCAATACCTTTATCTACGGGCCAAGGGTTAGCACATCTTTCGTAATATCATAATCTCCCTCGGTGGGGAAAAAATATGCCGTTTGCCCTACCTGAAAGACTGTGATAACGACGTAAATACTAGAATTCGGTGGGAGAGATACCACTAATATAATAACTATAGCTCTTGCAGGTATGCTAAGCGGGAGGGAATACCCTCAGAGCTTATTGATTGTTTTTATATACCGATCTCCATAGAGACCTACCGGTATTGCAGGTTTAGGCTTATGTAGGTAGTGACAGGTCAAATAGCTAAAAGACTTATTTAGTACCAGGCGTAGAAAACAATGTCAAAACCTGGAAAACACACTATGCGGGAGGCCTCCGTGCACTTTCTTGTTGTAGATGGAGGGACCCGGCATACTGTACTGTACCCCCCCGGAGAGCAGTGCTCAACGTGCGCTGGTATATTTTCTCCGGCCTACTCAAGCCCAGCGTAGTGACTGCAAAACAGTAGAAACACTCTACCCATACAACCCATCAACACCCTCATCCTTCCCCGCCGAGCCACCAAAACTGAGGAGCAGTTCACCCCGTTGATCCCGCTTCGGCTTCTAAATCTTGTGCTCCTAGGAAGGCGCGCGGTCCGGATTGTGTTCGAAATGCTGGGCCAACTCGACCGCTCAGCGCCTAGACTCCCGTTCCTTCGATGTCAATCGTCACTCCATGCTGATAGTCACTCTAAACCTCCGATGCCTCGATATAGTGCCAGATCGCCCACATGTGTTTTGGAAGCAACATACATTATCCATTCATCCTCTGTTTCCGCATACATCGCGAGCCCCACCTCTCCAGAGGCAGGCGCACTATCTGTCCGTCCAGTTCAGCGCACACAGTACCGCTATCTAGGTTCCCGGTGACCACTGGCAACTATCTAGTTCCATCGTATGGGCCGGAATGCTAAGGCCGAGGTACCGGCGTTTCTTACACCACGTCCTCCGTTCCGGTATCGCAGAATCATTAAATATCTTCAAATGGCGGAGACGGTCAAGGGGAATCAAGATTCCCTTTTGTCCCAGCCGTCGTGCCCTACTAGCCTCGTACCGCTGTGGTCCTACTTAAGATTCACATACCCATGCGGGAGGGCCCCCGGAGCCGTCGGGGTCCGGTGGAGTCATGCTTACAGTAGCCATACATCTATCATCTATGCCAGTCCTTCCACTCCCGATTTTCTCGGTTCCCGGGCCAACATGGCATGTCCGGTTCCGAAGCAGTTCTCCCATCCAGCCGGGTTTAGGAAGAGTTGAGTAGAACACTTCGCCTTAGCGTCGGCCACTTTATTACGGTGGATGTCCATATGTTGTGGGGTCCAGCCGAATGTCACTCGTAAATGCATTGATCAACGGGGTCATACATCCCGCAATATGGCACTCCCAGTCCGGATCACACCTCCGATGAGCAAGGGACGAAAGAGTACCGGGGGTGCATTCTAGTGTAGATCCGGAGTGCGAATTCATATTTGTGCATAAATAGCCCCTAGCTAGCTCATCCTGTGAAAAAAAAAAGAAGAATGGCTTTTGATGCGGAATTATTAGGATGAAGTGTGTCCGCCGAACCACCTGGTTAGGATGAAGCAAAGAGGGAAAGGAGGGGGGAATTCGAGATTCATGATGACACGGGCATGGTAGGGGGGGGACAATGTGATAATCATAATATTATAATAATTATTATTAATACCGAAGTAATTTATCCACAGCACATTTTGGGAATACACCGTGCCATATGAAATTTCCCCCTCCTCAGCACTACCCTCAATCCTTTGAACCTGCCGCAACACCTTTTATTTCTCTGGGTTCCAGGTCCGCACCGGCCGAAGATAGCATCATAGATTTCATAGTAAATGCTGATATATGCCAATATTCGGAGATATAATATCGGGGGTCATCCGCGGGCATCTGCGGGCATTTGAAGACATTTGAGCCGGTCGTAACATACTTCATGATATCTGTGGGCATCTTCAGATATATGCCCTGCATGGACAAAATATTCAAATAGTATATGGGACATTGTGAAAGACTGCCGGTGCCGCCAGGCACCCATAACGCCCTGGCCAGTCTTACTTTTCCCTGGTTGGCTGGGCTGTGTATCTACAGGCCATGTGCGGGACCCCCTGGCTGTAAAGACTGCTCCCGGATTCCTACTTTTCTCATCTTTATTTCTTCACTTCTTTCCTCTCCACTGCCTTGTCCCCGTTCTGTTCTCTCCACTTTTGCTCTGTTCTACCCCCCGCCTGCTTTTGCTATATTCTCCTCACTACGTCTCAAGTCTTCCAAACACCCCCTCTCCTCTCCCGACTACCTCTCACTTCCCGCCTTCAAACCCCTCTCCTAGTTCTTTTCAACCGGAGGATAGGGCGCTACATATTTCTGGGTAGACTAATCCTGGGCTTTTTTTACCCTTATAGATACAAGAAATACAAAGAATAACTACTAAATTCCGGAAGAGGGAGTCATATATGTGCGATTGTGACTAACAAGCGAGAACTTGTTTTACGCAATACACTAAGTTAGGTAACGACACACCATTTCTCACTCCTCTTGCTCCTTGGCATACTAGAAGCGTTATAGCTAGGTTGCTAACACTGGCTGGGGTATTGGAATGGCCCGGAATGTTCGGAATGGAGCAGGCTGCGATGCGTGGCATTGGCGGAAGAGCGGGGATGAGAGGTGAGCTACAGGTTCTCTTGATATCTTGAAACGCCGGGCCGCAAAAGGTCCATGAAGAAAGCTGACAGAAAATCTGCCAGCAGGGAGAGCATGGGAGAGTGGCGAGTAGCGCGGATTGTGTTGGGACAATTGGGATACCATGCCGGAGCATAACAAACGAGTGAGTTCCTATGATTCTCAGCAGTAAAAAAGGATTGCGTGAATAGGAGTTTAAATCAAATATATTATCCTGGAACCACCGAACAGGCACACATCCAGATTACAAGAAGTATCTGGAGTGAGAGGTCGCACGAGCAAATATATCATGAAAAGGGAAAAGAAACAAGGGAAGACAAAGACAAAAAGGGGTTAATAATGCCCAACACTTCCTTCATGCCATACTGCAATGACATGCCACTCGCGGCCTCTGGTTTGTCGTTCTTAACTCCGCAAAAACTGTGGTTTTTCCCG